TATATATATATATATATATATATATATATAGATGTTAAATTTATTTAATTTGAAGAATAATTTATTTTTTATATATAACGAAATAGAGCTTAAGAAAAAAATATATTGGCAAATTAATTCACATACTTGATTTCGCCTCATTAATTGGAAGTAAAAAAAAAAATATCTAAATGGTTATGATTTTCTATAAATATTTTTGGATAAAAAGTGAATAATTGTGGAAAAAATTAATGTTATAGTTAGAATTTAAAATATGTTGTGCTAATATTTATCTTTACCAAAATATTATCAACATAAATCACGTAATGAAAATAATATTTTTATCATATTTGATTTAATCTTATTTGAAAATGCGAATATAGAAGCAGTTAATGCATATATTTAAAAAAATATGCAAAAAGGGTATGCATGAAATGCTCCCAATTTTTTTTACTACTATATTTAGTAAATGGTTATTCTTATTAGATGTATAGATTTCTATAAATTTATACCATTTAAATTCGGATATTTCATACCAAAATAAATGTGCCATCTTTTTATTCATCACAATACTCAACTATTATTTTATTCTAAAATTTATTATCATATAATATGTATTAAGATATTTTTTTAATTAACCACCATAATTATCATATGCAAATATTTTGATATTTATAACAAACTAAATTTTATACTTTCATAACTTACGCATTACGAAATTCTATTTATGCTACGTACTGTAAGAACCAAAATGCAAAGAATTACGTTGCAAATATTTTAAAACACTAAAATAATTTCAATATGAATTGTTAAGCTAAGTACACTATTTATGGAGAGCCCCGTGAGTCAGGCAGGGCTAATAATATAAAATATTGATTTGTTAAAAATTAAGCAAATTATTTTCTTTTAAGAAAAAAAGAAATAGCGTGATAGAATATCAATCAATTTAATGCATGATATATCGTCTATATAAATTTTGTGTTTTTCAAATTCATAATTTTATAATTTTTCATTCAATTTAGAATATATTTATATTTTAATTATAAAATAAATTGCATATCAATCCTAGATTTATAACTTAGTTTTTTTAATTGGTATGTTTAAATCAAAATTATTTAACATGAATAATTTTATTCATTCTCAATTTATTGTATAAACATATATTTGAAAAATATTTATTAATTATTTAATTTTTATTTCACAATAAGATTTTTATTTCTTTGAATATTTATTTGAAATATATTTATTAATTATACAGTTTTTATTTCACAATAAGAATTTTATTTCTTTATTCACTATTTGTTACACAATTAAATTTTCCTCGAACACCTATGTAATTCACGGGCATTGCACTAATTATATATAATGAATATTAAATTAATTAAATATGTGTAAATTAATATATTTATAAATAAATCAAATTTTGATTTATATTAATTATAACATAAATTGAAATCAATAGATCGTTAAAAACCTGCTAAAACCCTAGTTCTTTTTAAACCCTCCTCTCACTCAGACCAACGGAATTTGGGCGACAACGTGCTTTCCAGCTCGAAGAACCGAA